TATATCCTTAATTAAATTTTTATGCCTTCTCAACAATTAGATATCATTTGTAGTTGAATAATCACTGTTATCATACCATTTGACTTGAAAGAAAAAAAAATTTGAGAAGAAAGTCTGTAAGTGAACAATTTTATGTTTAGAGTTGGAAAAAAAACACAAATGAAAATTACAGCAGTTTAGTTTTCTTTTTTTTTTTTTTTTGAGCTATGCATTAATTTTTTTTCTCAATGATTTACCGATAGAATTACTGATAAAAAAAATAATTTTTTTTTTGTTTTATTTTATCTGTAGATTGGTCGATATTATTTTCGTAAATACTTGAAAAGTATCAGAGCTGAAGAAAATTTACGATTTTGGGAAGCGGTAATCGAATTTCGTCAAACAAAAAACAACAGCAGTGCAATGCTAAGTATGGCAAAAAATATACAACGACAATATTTGGTGGAAGGAACATCTCATGAGGTCAGGAAGAACGCTGCTTTTTTTTTGACTAAACCAAAAACGTTGATGTTAAATAACAAAAAAAAAATTTTATTTATTTTTTCAATAATATTTTTTATTGAAAAAATATTATTGAAAATTTGTATGACAAAAATAAAGCTGATTTACTTGATCATAGTTTTTATTCAAAGAAACAAAAAATGAAGCATTTTAGGTATTCTTGGCATTTGGTATACGACAACTTATCGAAAAACGCATCAAAGATGACGATATTGATGCTAGTTTATTTGACGATGCAATTAAACATGTTGAAAAAGTGCTCAAAACAGAGCCCTATCACCGTTTCATAAATTCAGAGGAATACAAAAATTTGCTTCATAAACTGAAGTGATTACTATGTGATTAACATTTAGCAAATTGTTTGGCTGTTCATTGAACAATACTTTTCTATTCAACTTTTTTTTTTCTTGACTTGTTTCTATTTCTTTTTCTGTTCTTTTTCTCCTTCTTTTTTTGTTCTTTTTCTATTCTTTTTTTTTCATATTTTATTTTCATTTTTGTTTTTATTTTCTTTGGTTATTGACCTTTTTTGACTTTATTTATTAACTTTATTTGCGAATAAATATCTGCTTGATCTAAGCTACTGTCATAGCCAAAACTAACTGTTGATTATTGTTGAAAAATAGAAACAATAATAATTGGCAACAGATGACCTAGAACTGAATTGTCAAGACAACCAGACAAAGTGTGATCAGCATGATCAGCAGAAGTTTCTTGAGCTGTTAAATTTGTGAAAAAACTGTGATTTAAAGTTTTATTTGGTTCGTTTAATTTGTTGATGGAGAGTGAAAAGAAACGTGGTGTAATAGTAAGTTTGCATAAAATACAGGTCATTTATTTATTTTTTCCTTTTCACCTAAACAACTGAAAAAAAGATCACTGATTGTACTGTATGCTGTTTGAAGAAATCAAGCAGAAACTGATTTTGAAGCTGTATCTAAAAAAACTTGACCTTAAAAAAAAAAAATACTGCAGTACTGTAATGGCAGTTTAATCAAGTTTTGAGAAAAGATATTCTGATAGACTGTTTTGAAAATACGATCACAGACATACAGTTTTGGACATTAAAAAATTGGGGACTACCGGGTGATGACAAATAACAAAAAAAGAAACAATAGATGGAATGATTTGTCGGTGAAACTTACAGCTGCATTGGGTGATTGGGTTTATTAAAGTGACATCATAAGTCTTCACAAAGTGTACTTTCTATCATTTTCTGTTTTCTGCTTTATTTTTTTGTGTTTTTGATTTTCCGTCTTTTATTTTTTATTTATTTATTTATTT